AAATCAACAATAATACTAAAAGCAATCCTTTTGGCGGAAGCTGGTGGTTACGATGGAAAAAAGAGGCACTACGAGTAAAAAGGCACTAACGGCAACCAGTAGTGGCGTGGCGTACTTTGCGATATATCCATTGATCTGCCACTTTAACCTATGGAGAAAGCTCGCCAAACAGGGTGTTCGCAAAGATAACTTCAAAAATCAATTCTTTACCATAGCTTCAAATGGGGAAAAATCGAAAATTGATCCTTCGCTCGAAGACGATGGAGGCTCCCGCTCCCTCTCGACTAGGATGAATGAGCGTAAAATCTAAATTACTGTATTGCCGGAGACCAGTCATAAATTTAAATGGACTTTTTTATCTACAACTTTATTTTATTAGAGATACAAAATTGACACACATTCGCACAGAAACATGTGGAAATACAGAAACGACGGGAAAATAATAGGTTTTCACCAGAGATCTAGCGAATAATGGGCATATTCATATCATTCTTTTCGCATTAGAAACAAAATATCAGTTACAAAGCTACGTCTTAAACGACCCAGAAAATTGCGTCATTTATTCAAAAGACGGAGTCTAAAAATTGGCAGAAAAAAGATCCAGAAAATTTTGACAATTTTTGACGAAACTGACCCTCACTTTATCTATAAGATTTAGGCCCTTTCGGGAATTGGATCGCATTTAGCAAAAAGGAACCAGCGCGATTAAGGTGTTTTCGAAGCCGAGCAACTTTTCTTTTTCTTTCATAAACACTTAATACAAAATTCAGTATTAAAATTTACGCAATTAATTTCCTTTAAAATAAGCAATTTTTTGGCGAGAAGCCAACACTTTTTGATTTTCTGGGAGATTTTTTAGATAAATATGAAGCAGCAACATTTCTAAAACACTGTAATCGCGCTGGTTCCTTTTCGCTACATGCGATCCAATTCACCCCCTTTGGCTGAGCAGTAAATAGGATTGGAAGCTTCTGGTGATTCTAAGGGAGTTCTCTCAAATGAGTCAGTCGCGCTGGTCACAGAATCGTGTTTTCACGCTTGATTTTTGCAGATAGCTGAAAATAATAATATCTGCCCAAACAGCAACTTTCTACGTTTAAGATTAACAGAGATATCGCCCATTGAAAAGTCGGGTTTCTAGCGCCATCCACCCCGGTAGTGGCACCCTTGGTTTCTCCCACCTTGCTTTCATCCTAGTTTCATGTTGAGTATAACTAGAGTACCTGTATAGCGAGTGTATAGACGGATGTGAAACTCCGAATCCATCAGGCCTTCACCGATGCCTCCGCGAATAAAGTTAAGGCCCAGAAATGCAGCCAACCTATGAATTTCAATTATCCAGAGCGATTTATTAATAAAATTGCTACGAGCCATCGTTTATAAAGCACGTATTTGACTTTGTTTTTGCATAAATTTACTTATTTTTGTGGAAGAACGCTCATTTATGTACTTTCTTAGCCATCTTCGTTAGAATTGGAGTCTACAGACTGGCAGTGAAATTTTGTGCGTTAGAAGTTGGTTAGAAGGGTGGCTGCACTTCTGGGCCCTAAGCCCTCCATGAAGCGATCTGTCCAAATACTCTCGCTATACAGGTACTCTAGGTATAACCAGTGCAAATTTGTCTCCCTGACCGATGAAAGCAAGACGGGGGAAACCGAGGGTGTCACTACCACGGTGGATGACGCCAATAATTTGGATTTTCAAAGGGCGATATCTCGATTGATACTGAACGTAGAAAGTTGCTGTTTTGACCGATCGTAATATTTTTAGCTGATCGATCTGCTAGAATAAAGCATCAAAACACAATGCTGAGACCAACACAACTGACCCATTGGGCTATTTAGAGCAAAATGAATTATGTTAGATCTCATATAAGACCTGAAATCGACAAGAATACATGCATGGTAGGGCTCATTTCACGAAGGCTATCAGTGGCGAGGCGTGAATGATCGATTACCGGTATCTCCCCGTTTTAAACTGTGGTAAAGAATCCGTCATTAAGGTGTTCCTTGCGAACACCCTGTTTATCGATCCTTTTCCAAGGGTTTAAGTGGCAGATCAATCGATATATCGCTAGACACGTCACGCCACTGGATGTAATTTCTTTTGATTACGCCATTCTTCCTTAGCTCGGCAGCACATTTGGACTAAATATTGAAATTACGATGCAGAAATCTCATCCTCATTACAAAAGCAGTTAAACAGGAATAATACGAGTTTCGGACTTTCTGTAATATTCCGGTGCTTAAGAACGAAGATTTAAGTTGAAAAAATAACGGGGGATGTCACAGCGCCCATAAATATTCGAAAATTCAAATGGAAATATCTGCAATATATTCTCTTACAAAATATGATGAAGAGAAAGTCACTTCGGAAAAAAGCAAAACTAGAAACAAGCTTTCATAATCAATATGTCTTGGTTCTCTAGCCACGAGAGGAATTAGAGCACTGCGCGACGTGTTTCCTCTATAAAATTTTACGAGCAAATCGAAGTCATGAGACGGATGGGGAGTGTGGAAATGAACTCCGAAACTAATTAAGATTAACATTGCTTGAATGACACAAATACAAATGACGTCATCTGTATAGTCTCAACTTGAAATTGTCAATGATCAGAGTATCGTTTTTCTCCGGTGTGCGATCGAATATGTACCCTTGCAGAAACTATTTATGAGAACCAAGCTGAGAGAAGCCTACAATTAAAAGGTCCCACACCGGCGTGTGTCGTATGCGTTGATTTAAACGGCTTTTTCTGGACAAAAAGGCAGAGCACTGAGTGAAAATGCATGGTTTATCGGAGTATGCTCCTTCAAATGCCTTTTCTGCCGAAAAGAGGATGAGCAGTGACTGCATCACTACAGTTTTCCGTCAGTATGCATTCGCAAATGTCTCTTTAAAGTGACATCCTCGGGGAAGGACATCGAACAATGACTACAACTGAAGGGTTTCTCACTAGGGTGCGTCCGCATGTGTCTCTTTACATTGTTTTAATGCCTGAAAGAGGAGGAGCAATTACTGCAACTGAATAGTTTCTCACCAGTATGCGTGGAAACATGTGCCGTTAGAGACTGATTGCGAGCAGAGCATGCCGTGCAATAACTGCAACTGAATGGTTTCTCTCCAGTATGCGTCCGGATGTGTTTTGTCAAATTACTTCTCTCAGCAAAAGAGGCCGAGCAATGACTGCAACTGAATGATTTCTCACCAGTATGCGTGCGAACATGTGCCGTTAACGAATTTTTTTGAGCAGAGCATACCGTGCAATGACTGCAACTGAATGGTTTCTCGCCAGTGTGCGCTCGCATGTGTTTCTTTAGCTTGTCTTTACTTGTGAAAGAGGAGGAGCAATGACTACAATTGAATGGTTTCTCGCCAGTATGCGTTCGGATGTGTCTTGTCAAGTTATTTTTCACAGCAAAAGAGGCCGAGCAATGACTGCAACTGAATGGTTTCTTGCCAGTATGAGTTCGGATGTGTGATGTCAAATTACTTTTCTCAGCAAAAGAGGCCGTGCAATGACTGCAACTGTATGGTTTCTCACCAGTATGCGTGCGAACATGTGCCGTTAAAGAATGTTTTTGAGCAAAGCATGCCGTGCAATGACTGCAACTGAATGGTTTCTCGCCAGTGTGCGCTCGCATGTGTTTCTTTAGCATGTCTTTACTAGTGAAAGAGGAGGAGCACTGACTACAATTGAATGGTTTCTCGCCAGTATGCGTTCGGATGTGTCTTGTCAAGTTACTTTTCACAGCAAAAGAGGCCGAGCAATGACTGCAACTGAATGGTTTCTTGCCAGTGTGCGTTCGCATATGTACCTTGAGATTTTGTTTCGTAATGAAAGAGGAGGAGCAATGGCTGCAACTGAATGGTTTCTCACCAGTATGCGTTCGAACATGTTTCGTTAAAGCATCTTTTTGAGTAAAGGATGCCGTGCAATGACTGCAACTGAATGGTTTCTCGCCGGTATGAGTTCGGATGTGTGTTGTCAAGTTATATTTCATAGCAAAAGAGGCCGAGCAATGACTGCAATTGAATGGTTTCTCTCCAGTATGCGTCCGGATGTGTTTTGTCAAATTACTTTTCTCAGCAAAAGAGGCCGAGCAATGACTGCAACTGAATGATTTCTCGCCAGTGTGAGTCCGCAAGTGTCTCTCTAAACTGTTTTTTCTACCGAAAGAGGAGGAGCAGCGGCTGCAACTGAATGGTTTCTCACCAGTATGCGTTCGAACATGTTCCGTTAAAGAATGTTCGTGAGCAAAGCATGCCGTGCAATGACTGCAACTGAATGGTTTCTCGCCAGTGTGCGTTCGCATATGTACCTTGAGATTGTGTTTCATACTGAAAGAGGAGGAGCAATGACTGCAACTGAATGATATCCCCTCAGTATGCGTGCGAACATGTTCCGTTAAAGAATGTTCGTGAGCAAAGCATGCCGTGCAATGACTGCAACTGAATGGTTTCTCGCCAGTGTGCATTCGCATATGTACCTTGAGATTGTGTTTCATACTGAAAGAGGAGGAGCAATGACTGCAACTGAATAGTTTCTCGCCACTTTTTATTTGAATATGTCGCGCCATTGAGGTTTTCGTAGTAAAAGATGTAGCGCAAACATTGCATATTGATTGTTTGGCATTCATTTTTTTCGAATCTCTCATGGATACTGTACTCATATTTACATGTATGTGTCGAGCGTTCCTTTTTTCACCGTTTGCAAGGGTTCTCGTTCTCTTGCCTACGTTCTCTTCGGCCTGTCCGAGATAGGTAGTGCCGATGCTCTCTCTTTTCAGTGACGTTATCTTCGGGACGAAAGCACGAAAATCAACCTCCGAATCGAGCTCTCCGTCCTTATTATACAACCTAACTTCAGACTTACCCATTTGGAGAGGTGGCTCACTCTCAATTTCGATTTCCGTATGTAACTGGTCAGCCAAACTTTCATCACATTCGTCGGGATGGGGAGTCTCAATGTTTTCTATCTTTACTCGCTCTGCCATCGAGACACTATCTCTATAATTTAAGTCCAAATCGAGTTCTCTTTTTGCTTTTCCCAACTTGGATTCCGCTTCGTTTGTTTGGGCAGGGGGTTCACTCTTAATTTCAATATTCGTGAGTGATACGTCAAGCAAATTTTCATTACATTCGTCGGGAAGTGGAGTGCTCATGTTCTCTCTCTTCACTCGCTCTGTTATTAGGAGAAAATCACGAATATCATTCTCCAAATCGTGTTCTGCTCCTCCTCGTCCCAACCTGAGTTCTGACCCATCCGTCTGGGGAGTGGGTTCACTCTTAATGTCAATACTTGTACGTAGCTGGTTAGTCCAACTTGCATCAACTTTTTCATCCTCGCATTCGATTTTGGGGGGAAGAGCGGAGGGACAATCGAAGATGGACGAGAGGAAGGTTTCTTGGGTCTCTTCTACTGATGCGAGTCGGGGATTGTCGGAATCTTCAAGGTTACTTTCTACGGAGTGGGAAGATGGGTTGCCAGACATACCGCTAGACTCCGAGCTGGTGCTTGCTTCAGGCACGGCCTGCATTGAAGGGCTCGTGCAATAAATCCTCGACACGTCTCCCTGGGGATCCTTCACACTTTTATCGATTGGTGGATTCACTGGATTGTAGTCTTCAGGTGTGCTGATTGCTGAGTGCTCTTTCCGTTAGATTTTTAGCTTCGGCGTTCTCCATCCAAAATCCTGAACAGAATAAATTTCAAGATTTGTAAGCAACGCTTTGGACGACCGATTATAGTAGTAGGTATTCGATAGAGGGATTGAAAGACGGAGAGATATTTGTTGCGATAAATCGATTGATCTGTCATGTAAACCTATGGACGAGGATCTATGTACACTGCACAGGGTGTTCGCAACGAAAACCTTAATCATAGATTCTTTAACATAGCTTCAGATGGGAAAATATCGATAATCGATCATTCACGCCACGCCACTGGATACGGGTACCCGCGGGATCGAAGTATGCGATGCTTCGAATGACATAGGTAGTTAAGACAGGAAACATCATAATCCGAGAAGACAAGAACCCCGAAATTCAGCGGCGCCGACGTGGCGTGCTTTGCGATATTTATAATTTCATCTTCAATGCCACCGATCCACGATTTTGCTGGATGTCCCTTACGTCTTCTTTTCGGAGGGACCCATTCTAGACCCTTCTTAGGCAATCTGTCATCCGCCATTCGTTGAGCATGGCCACACCGGACAGGCTGTTCAGTTATAATATCATGCACGATGTTCTGATCGGCGCTCAAGATCTGCATAGATTACATAGAGCCGTAATGTAAATAGGAGAGCTGGCGCCATGTTCTGCTCGACGAGTTCCGAGTCCGGTGCGCGCCGAGTTCGGATCACTTTTTCGCTAATCTTTAAAAAATTCGATCGGATGAGCCTTCGATATATGCTAAGACTTCAAACTCTAAGCCCGGACCTCTGAGGCATGTATCGGACTGATCCTGATTTCTGGACCTATCTTCTTTTACCAATCCCACGGATATGATTCTTGTTTCTGTGATTATCGAGAGTGACGGTATGTGGCTACCCCCACTCGAGGAAAATGGCGTTCCCTTGATCTGAACATTGATTCGGTTTGAACTCGACTGCAGCCCAAACGACTGCACGGATTCATACGAAAATTTAAATTTCACGACGATCTAATAGCAGCCGAGGTAGATTCAAGGCCACGTTCGTCATTTCGTTAGGGCAGGGACGGGTTCTATAGGACGCCGTTCTGTTGTGAGCGGGTGATTGCAGCGCATTCTCGCGTAGGACCCTAGTCAACTCAGAGGATCCTTCCCCCCGAACCTCGACTCATCCATCGCCCGCTCCAAAAGTGAGGTTAAGCCGAAGATTGAAAAATAACACATAAGGCGGCTGAATTCTTGAAAAATAAGTATATTTTTGGCGTTTTTCGACCCCTTTCGACAAGGAAGGGCCCGACACACACAAACGTAGAGTGAAAAATTCGATTTTTGGCAGTTATACGCGATCCTACGGATTTTAATGAAGTCCAACAACTGATAACAGCAGTGAGTTGCGAGGGTCCTACGCGAGATAGCAGCACTAGTACCTGCTCACGAATTTTTACATTGGCTCTTACGGGAGTCCAGGGTCCTATAGAACTGGTCCCTGGTTAGGTTACGAAACCTAAGGCGCGTCTTTCCACGGCGTCTGGACGCCGCACAGAGCGGCACTCCCATAAGCGGCGTGGACAAAAATCAAGGGCACCGTCAAAATGGACGTATGGAACCATAAACGGCATGAAATTATCAATTTAGCCTCCTTAGACCTTTGATAACGGGTTTTGACTTTTCCAGCATCTGAGAGCTCAATAGGTCAAACGTGGCTATACACTGTATATACGTAATGGACCACTCGACAAGGTACGAATTTAAGCAATCTGATACATGTTCCTTAACCAGAATTTCACGTAAAACACGATTCGCGCAACGAAAATTACTGAAACTAACTCCTAACGAGGATATTATCGTTTTTATTTCACATTGGTTACGAGGAATTTGAACTGCCCGCCTCAAGAAACTCAAAGCTCTACGTGAGTCAAATCGCTCACTACAACGGTTTCAGAAAGTTTCTCAATCGAGCAATGTTCATTTTCCACCATGTGTTGTTCAAACTAAAAACAACTTGCTATACCTAACTGAGCCAAAGCGTCAAGATTGAGGTTGCCAGATTTTTATACAGCAGAGACTGTCATA